TAACACACAGTGCTGGGCAACACCCCCTGAGTTTCTGATTCTAGAGGTAGGTAGGGCATAGAATTTGCATTTCTATCTAGCTCTCAGGTGATGCTGCTGGCTCAAAAACCACATTTGGAGAAGCAGACAGTTAGGGTAAAGGCGGAACTACTGCAACAACAAACAAAAAACCCTCAAAAACATAGTGAGTAAAATAAGATACTTTTCTATTTCATATTATAGGCTGGTCAGATAGGCTATTCTGGAACCCAGATTTCTCTTACTTTGTGGTCTGCAATCCCCTCAGGATCATCCTCATCAGCCTGGAGGAAGCCAGGCTCTGCCTCACTTATACTGCAGTCGATGGGAATAAAAAGTAGAGAATAAGCCAATCCCTGCTAAGTTTCCCTCTTCACATTCACATATTTACATTGTGAAAATTGAATGGAAAGGCTGAAGAGTCATGAGCCTCCTTGAACTGTTAACTATTACGGAAGAACCAGAGAAGGGCTGCTATAGTTTGGACCTGAACTGTCGCCCAAAGGCCCAAGTATTAAAGCTATGTCCCCAAGTGGGGCTACTAAGAGGTGAAACCTTTCAGAGTTGGGGCTTAGTTGGAAGAGTTATTGAGCATATCCTTTAAGGGAATATTGGGACCCCAGCTGCTTTCCCCTCTTTTTTTCCAGGCTGCCATGAGATAAGCAGCTTCCTCTGCCACACTCTCCCACCATAACGTTCTGCCTCATCACAGGCTCAAAGCAATGGGGCCAAGTGACCATGGACTCAAACCTCAGAAACCAGAAGCCAATATAAACCTCCCCTCTTTATAAGCTTATTATCTCAGATGTTTTATTACAGTAACACAATTAACAGAAGGATTCAGCAAACAACTAGCACACTGTCACAATAATATGCTCCCCTCAACTTTTTCATTTGTGAAATAATCATTGGATATAAATTAGATAACTAATGCTAAATCATTAATATTTAAGCACAGCATAGTAAAATATAAAATATGAATTTGTATTAAAAGATATTTTTATTTACCTAACCCTATAATCCCTAAAAGAAAATCAGTTTCTAACTCCTGTCATGTTCTTCAAGCATGGTTCAATTTATCCTTTCTTTTTCTGTACGAGGGATCAAACTCAGGACCTTGCACTTGTGAGGCAGGTGTGGCGCCACTGAGCTAAATCCCCGGACTGTTCAATTTATTCTTAACAGAAACTCTATCCAATAAGATCTCCTCAGCCTTCAAATATTAAGTATATTTATTAGCATTATGTATACATGCATTCTAAAGAAAGATATATAAATACAAATATCTATCTATATTGAATTTACTTAAGCTTTCATTTGATATAACTTGATTGTAGATTTATTATCTAATTTAAAATAATATGCAACCTGTTTAGCATAAAGGTGTTTTTCTCTTTTGCTTTGACTGCTGTTTCTCCACTCCTTTCCCAGTCAGACAGCATCTTCTCATCACAGCCATACTCTGAGTATCCTAGGACATCTCAGGTTAGCAGGCATTATTATCTTCCAGGGCCACACCACATTTGCACCGCACTCTGTAACATATTGGCCATGACTGCATAGGTCATTTCAATCAAACATCACACATTTCCTTCCCTAAGTTCCTCTCCGGCTGTCATGGGTACTTACGTGTGCTATCTAGGTAAGATTTGGCAGAGCCCATTTTCTGTCTCCACAACACATACACTTAGAACATTCAGTTTGTTCAGCAACTCAGATAGCAACTCAGGGACACCTGAAGTCAGTAATAGAGCAGCATTAGCTAGCTTCATAGACCACTAAAAATCTATAAAATTAATGTTGTGCCCATGAATTTGATGCAAAATTAGGTTGGAAGCTAGCACGTGTAGGAGGTAAAGGAAGGTATATCCCCAAGGATACACAGCACCACAAGCAAAAATTCCTCCACCACCTGGTGAGGCCCTCCTCGGGCCGTGCGACAACCACGAATTCAATGCTCTAGAAACAACAGCAAGAAGCTCTGCCCACCACAGGTGTGACGTGACTTTCCAAGGGAAGCGGATAATTTTTACTGGATGGGGAATCATTAAAAGCAAACCAGATGATTAAACTTAATGGAACAGCTACATTAAACTGAAATTAGTAAAAAAACATGCCTCGGGCAGCCTACAACCTTTTATTTGTTGTTGTTTAACTTCTGCCTTTTACAGTGGCCTTGATGAATGACATCACAAAAGAAAAAATCCAATTAAAATCTAACTGCTCAATAAACCCCTAATGTCTGGTTGTTGCCACGGCTTTTGTGGGCACCCGATGCCTTCTGTTTCCTCTTTTTCCCAGGAATAGAGGGAAGAACTGGCCCCAGGGGGGTTCGGCAGAGAGGAGAGTGGGGAGAGAGAAAAAAAGGCATTTGGAGGTTTTTGCTGTGAACGTTGGGTCAGACCCAGATCACACTCAGTGGGGGGAGAAGGTTAAATTCCTTTATTATCAGACAATGACTGAGTGAAGAGATGCATCTTCCCACTGGTTTTCAAATATGGATAAATCAGAATTTTGATCTGCAGCACAATCCCAGTTCACACTCCTTCTTGGCATCTCCTCTGCACCTCTATATTGTCTCGGGTGTTTGTTCTATAAGTCATCGAAATGGTCTCTCCTGACAGCTCAAAATAAGTTTCTGATTACTTTTACCTGAATAAATCTTGTGACCAGCTGTGATATTCACCTACTAAGTGTGCAACAATTACATATTGAAGATGATGAAAGAACCAGCCACAGAGAGTCTGTAATCTAGTGGAATGCAGAATATAATAAATCATATGTAAAGATAGCAATTGCCACCAGGTAGAATAATACTGGCTTTTGATAACAGATTTTACTTCAGAGATATGGGATGTTTGTAAATTAGGTTTTTCAAGTCTTCAAAACAAAGTTCTCAAAGTCAGAATAAGAGCAAAAGCATGCTGATTATGAACTAAGAACTAATGATAATAGCAATGTCTTTAAGTTGGAAGGCATTTTATAATTGATAAAACATATATTGTATTTTTATTGCATGTTTACATGGCAATTAGTGTGGTATTTGTATATGGAGTCTAATTAGATCTACACAACAGCCTTGTTGTGTAGTGATTATCTTCGCTTTACTGATAAGGGTTCTGGCTCAGGGAGGTTAATTAGCTCTGCTATAGTCTTGCACTTGGCAAGGCAAAGAGAACAAGCATGACCCAGACTTAGGATTTGCGAATGGCACCTCAGCACTGCACAAGCTGCTGACCACAGCTGCCCAGCCTGCAGCAAGGATCCAAAGGGCAGTGAGGCTGGTTGCTTTACTCCTGATTTAATGAAACGGCTTTTTAAAAGTGCTCTTCAGTCATTAGAATCTGATGATGGAGAGTTAAACTTTCCCCAGTGGCTCTTTCAATGTCATCATGGTTTCAAGGTTCCTTAGCATATCACATAACACAAATCAGGGAATGCTCTTGTTTTACATTTCTTACTGCATTTGTCTCACTTCTAAGCAATTTCCTCCCCATTTGCATTTATCTTCCATTATTCCTGCCAAATTGCTTTCAAAGCTACTAATTGTATGAATAATATTCTCATTCCCAAACTCTGCAACTAACTAGCTGTAGCTGAGTACCATTGGACATAGTTTCTTCAAAAAAAAAAAAAAAAAGAGGAAGTTGCAAATGTATTGGACCACTGGACCGTTCCTCTCCACACTTTATGTAAATGATATTCCACAGAACACACTTAAAAGTGTGTCTAACAAAAGCCTGGTTAGATAATTTTGTAAGTCCTTTTTTTTCCCTCAGAGTCCCTTTTCAGATGTGTTTGTGGACACTCCTCTGAGCATCTTGTATGGTACCTGTCAAGAAGACAGAGTTGATCTACCTGTTGCCTTTATTTGGTAACATAGCTCCTCTGAGTCAAGATAGACTCGCAGCCTTCCTACTACAACTAATTTGTCTCGATGTCCCTGATGCCTGTCTATACCTCAGGCTTTGAAGCAGTCTTCCTCAATGAAAAATCAGTACTCTTAAAATTTATGAATAAAATTAGATTATCTGAAGACCTAAACTTTTGCTGGGTACAAAACACAGAATTAAGGAAACAACACACCCCATACTGTGGAAGTGATCTTTGGGAGAGAAAATGCAGCCCACTTTACCAAGTTAAGATTATCACGTCCCATTTCCATGATGTCCACTATTCTTTTAATTCAGTCCCTTATCCAGACCCACTTTGTTGACCATGAATCATCTGCTTGATTATCTTCAGGAACCCAGAGCTCACTACCTTATAATGCAGACCATTTCACCTGTAGTCTGGCTCTGTGTCAGAAGCTTCTTTTTATTTCATACTAAAATCTAAATGTTGAACACCATTCTTCTACCTGACCTCATAAATTACCTCATAAGGTGGTTGTCAAGGCATTCTTCATGGCAGCACTTATGATGTCTCTCAAACGCTTTGAGTTAAATTTTATAAATAAATAAACGTCAGATCTTCCCAGGAAAGGAATGATAGTCTCCATCACTAAAAATGCAAAGAGATGGCTTAGTTCCCTGAATTCACCAAGAGGCAGGATATACCCAGTTCTCTCTGACTCAGAAACCAAAGTCCTTTTTCAATACCATCATTTGTTATTAGGTTTGCATGCATACAAGTGAGGAAGACCGTGTATAAGTAGAACCTGAAAGCTGTAGTGAAAATAACTTCATTGCAGCAAAGGCAATATGTCCTTGCTCTGGCTTTTAGTTTTTCCTTCTCCAAAATAAGAAGGATTCCTAAATTTTTCCCAAACTTTGTTTCAGTTCAGGAAAATTCCATGATTATAAGGAAATATCTTTATTAATTAAATGTTTGTTGTTGATGGATTATGTAAATAATAAAAGAAAAAAGCCTGTATACATTAGTAAGAATTGAATGAAAGCACAGAATGCATCATAAACACAAAAACAGTTCAGGATCACATGCTTGACTTTTACTTTCTTTAATTTTTTTTTCTACACTAGTTACATTCAGACCAGGATAGAGGAGATGGATCACTTAAATATATCCTTTCAGGAGATGGAGCAGGAGATCTCTTCATTATCAATGAAAACACAGGCGACATACAAGCCACTAAGAGGTTGGACAGGGAGAAAAAACCTGTTTACATCCTTCGAGCTCAAGCTGTTAACAGAAGGACAGGGAAACCTATAGAGCCCGAGTCTGAATTCGTCATCAAGATCCATGACATCAACGACAATGAACCAATATTCACTGAGGAGGTTTATACAGCTACTGTTCCTGAAATGTCTGATGTCGGTGAGTGAGATATGATTTTCACCAAGAACTGATTCTCCTCCATGCATCCTTTGAACCAAATTTGCTGAGCTGAAAGTGTTTAAATTGCTGAATCCCAAAAGTAGCATATTTTCAAACAACTCGCATATCCCTTTAAGTACATAAGTGCTGCCTAGTATTACTCTAGTCTCGTCTTTAAGAAAACAGCATTTCCTCTAATGATGCTGGCCTGATAAGCAGCAGGGTGGGAAGTCGAAAGGGAGACCATCTCATCTACTTTCTCTCTCTATCCCTGAACTCCCACTGGGTTTGTTGGGCTGAAAGACAGCAGCCTTCTCCATTTCTCTTAGCCATATCGGAATTCAGCTCCAGGGAAGGATTTCTCAGTGGAAAATAAAAGTCTGAATTTACAGGCCAGTCTAAAGAATAGAGATGGTTGCTTTAAGTATCATCACTCCTAGAAACATCAAAGTATTCTATGTACAGGAAACAGTGACAAAATTTGAGTTACTTAAGTAAAGGGGTATTTTTATTTTCACTATGTCAAATTCAAAAGGGCTCAAATTACATAATAACTTTTCTATGATTCTGTCCTGCGGATGTCAGAGACACTGCAGTTCACAGATCCAAGAATTGGAAAATATCCAATCTACAGAAATGATTGTAAAACATCTACATTTTTCTCATGAAGAAATTGTTCATCTCATTACTACAAGCCATTCAGTTTTGTTAGAAAAAATCACAAACCATCATCAAAGCAAAAAGATGAATTAGAATTCTTTAAAAAGAAAGGTTTTTTTAGGGAACATAATATTTTTCCTTTAAAAGATAAAAGACAGAAGAAGGACAATCTGGTCATTGGGACCAGGCAGAACAGCTGTGATATGCAGGTCATGCACTGAACAACTCAAGGGGTGACATCCACTTATGAAACCACTACAAGATTACATATGTATTACAAATATTTGAGGATAGCTGGCAGTAACATACCTTGACAAAGGGAAGGCTTTTTAACAATTTTGGATCCAGGCACAAGAATGTTGATATTCATCAGTATTATAGATGTATATATCATTATTATGATACACAAAGGCATCTTAGAGAAATTACATACAGATAGTAGGACAACAGTAGGGAGGTAAAAAATGGACTCTGGTATCAAACAGACCTAAATTTGAAACTATCTGCTGTAATAACTAGCAGTATAGCCATGGGCAAATTACTTTATTTCTCTGATCCTGATTTCTTTGATCCTGTGATTCTGTCCCTGTAAGAAAATAAATACTAAATGGCAACTCCTAAGGGTTATTATGAGAATGAAACAAGAAAATAGATGCAGAGCCTCTAATAAAATACCTGATAACTAGCCAGTACCCAAAACATACACATGCACATATACCAAAAGCAATCAAGTTTCATATTAAATAAGAACCTGAGTGTTTGTGACTCCTATTAGCTCCCTCTCTAAAATCATACAAGGCTCTCCCATTCTCTCCACCTCCCTTAAAGTACAAAGGTGGGTTCTATGTCCCATCAATCAGCACAATCCATCCAGAGCATCCAACCTTGACATGGTGCAATCTATTTGGTCAATAAATGAAATTGGCCAGATAGTATGAAAGCAATTTAAAAATTCTAATATTCCCTAGATGTAACATCCTTGCCCTTTTCATAGATAGTATGCTACCATTTATCTGGTGAAAATATCAAAAGTTACCCATAAGATGATCTTAACCAGAGGGTCTGACCCTTTTTGGACATCACAGAACCCTTTGAGAATCAAGTAAAATGTATGGCCTGTCTCTCCAGTGAAATGGACATGAAAGCATACACATGAATACTGGCATAATTTCAGGGTAGTTAGGGATATTTTAAAGGTTATGAGCTGACTGTTGTCCCTGAAATAACAATGCCAATTAAAATGCCATAGCTTTCTTTGTATGTTTGATCATAATCATTTTTTGAAATTATAGCTTTCAGTGTTTTTGTTCTGCTGTTCTGCTTAATTCTTTATCTAATCAAAAACTACCTCTTTTTAGGTTCAAAATCTTTCCACTTATTGAAATTATCAAATAAATTTGTTATATAGGATGGCAAGTAACAGGAAACTCAATCAAATAAAAACAATACAAGTATTTATTATATTACTATTTATTAGTATTTATTCCTAAGAAAAGTATTCATTAATATTTATAAGCCAAAAAGTATGGTAGAGCTCTGTACATAATTTGATATGTGTTCTAGCTGTTTCTTTCTAGTTTTCTATCATACAAGGGTTGATCAGTGTGTGTTCAAATGTTAAAAATTTACTACAGTAAGAGGTATTGCCAATAATCCCTCTCAAAAAACTCCTTCTTGATTCAAATATACTTATTCTATTATTCGTGCCACTTTCTGAAGCAGTTCCGGAAGTCTTCTTTTATTGACTGGCTTTAGCTGTGCTGCCCTGGCTGCCTCAATGTCCTGAATCAATTGAAAATGTTTACCTTTCATGGTCATTTTGACTTTAGGGATGAGTGAGAAGTCACATGGTACCAGATCCACTCAATAAAGTGGATGAGGACACAAGTAATGTTTTTACTTAACAGAAATTTCCATAAACATTTTCAGTGGATTTAGGACATCAAGGCAGCACAACTAAAGGCACTCGTGAAAGAAGACTTCCAGAACTGCTTCAGAAGCCAGGCATGGTGGTGCACACCTGTAATCCCAGCACTCAGGCGGCTGAGGCAGGAGGACTGCTAAGAGCTTGAGGCCAGCTTGAACTACATAGTGAGTTCAAGGCCAGCCTGAGCTACATAGCTAGACCCTCTCTCTCAAAAAAAAAGAACTGCTTTAGAACATTGGAAGGACCATGGGATAAGGGTGTTAGAAGCAAGAGGAATTCATGACAATGTGTCTCTTACTGTAATAAATTTTTAACATAAGTGTTCACCACATTTTTTATCATACTGTATATTAGGCTTTGTCCTCAGGCTGCCATTTCTAAAATTATAAAATAGCATCTGCATTGTGCCCTCTTGTCAGTGCAGGAGAAAGAGCATGAATGACAGAATTTCTAGCAAAATCATAAGTGGCCTCCTAGTTGGACAGCTCCTAAACTAATCTTGTGGACAAAATAATGTAAGACTTAGTCCTGAATAGCTTGAAAGAATCACTACAACAAGAATACAGTCAAATCCTGTTGTTGGAGATGACTGCGAATCAGTTCTACTCAAAGTTATTACCATCCCCATACTTCTTTTTAATGTAATCCTTACAGTATTTATTAATGTTCATCACATGTCTTCAGAGTGAAGAATCCAGAGCTTTTTAGCCAAGCATCCCATTGAAGTTCACTTCCTTCCCATGATAGCTCTGTACAAAATTAAACTGATGCTTCCTCTTTGTGCGTATGCATTAAGAAACATAATGAACCCCTCATTTGTTTTCAGTTTATGTTTCTGTCATTACAGGCACATTTGTTGTCCAAGTCACTGCAACTGATGCTGATGATCCAACGTACGGGAACAGTGCTAAAGTTGTCTATAGTATCCTACAGGGACAACCCTATTTTTCAGTTGAATCAGAAACAGGTTAGAATTCCTTTTGGTCTTTTTCTTTTTTTACAATCTGTAATTTTAATTGCTATGCTCCGCTGAGCTAGCATATTTTTTAATAAAAACAATCAGTGTGATTGAATTTTCTTGTATTCCTCTGCCAAACACTAATGATATATTTGCAAGCATGACATCAGGATCGTTTTAATCAAGAAATCTGACAATGAATCTTTCATCCACCATGTTTATGTAAGTGGATTCAGAAAAACTACACACTCCTTTATTTTCTCCCAGTCTGGGGTGAAGCTAAAAGATAAACCCTTTCTGATACCTCGTAGGGGTGTTTGCAGATACACTCACTCTTCCTTCTCTAGTTATTTGATAGGACTGCATCTCTGTATTCTTCTCTGACACTGGACAGATCCATGTGACTGATTTTTGCAAAGACAATGTGGCTGGTGATGTTGCAATCAGGGTTTATGAAGCTGCTGTACAGTCGGCCACAGTCTTTTCCCTGATACACTCATCATGGAAACTACTGCTGAGATGGGTTCTTCAGCCTGGATGACCGAGTATTACCAAGAGCAGAACTTCCTACTTGTCTGTTCAGACAATGAACAACAATTAAACTAGTTGTATAAAGCCACTGAGATTTTACATTGTTTGTGGTCACATCATTATCTAGCCCAGCCTAACTGCTACAACCTTAAAATGGAATTTTTACAAAATCCCTTTTTCAATGTCTCATCTCATTATTCTCTATTTTCCCCACAAAGTAGCACATTATCAGATGATGATTTGTTTTTTAGTAAGTGGCATTAATATAATAAATTCTACACATATTCTTGCTCTCATAATAGGAGCCAAGTTCCATTTGTGTGTTTTTCAAATATCCATTATTTTAGTAGAAACTAGAACCTTTCTAGGTTACTACATCCACTTGGAAATCTCTGTGTTAAAAAGTTCAGTTAACTCGGAAAGAATCCCAAGGAGAAAGAAAATGTTGAGTTGAAAAACAATGAGAATTAGAAATTAGAATTATTCAACTTAAAAAACAAATGGCTAAGGTGATTTGCTGTATTTAAATAAAGAAGCACTATTACTTGAAGAACATAAAGGAGCTGCACTTAGAACCCAATAATATCAGAAAAAAATTGACCTGTTTTCTGAGGTATTCTTGCTTAAAAAAAATTTTTTTTAAGATATTTTCAGCTTCATTAGTTGTCAAGTACTGGAATGTGTGACCGGAAAAGGTTATAAAGTCTTCTCCAGTGATTTTTATTTAAAGAAAGTTAATTTAAGCATAAACCCTCTATAGCGATTAAGCAAACTTTTAGAATTTCTTTTAACTAATTATCTTAGAGCTACCTAGCAATAAAGATAAACTTAACCTAACTTTAAAATGCTGGTTACTTTGGGGACCAGTTAAACAAATGTTCACGTCAGCTTTAGGAAAATCTAAATTCTCAAATATTATACAAGATGATAATTGTGAGAGAAATTATGCTTTTTTTTAATACCATAAATTTATGGTTTAGAAAATTTTCAGAACATTCTATACAGTAGGTGTATTTGAGGAGCAATTAGCCACTTTAGCAATCTAAAACACAGAAGTCAGTTCAAGGATATAGCTTTCTTAACAATGTGCTCATAATACACCATAATGTCATTAATCAAGCAGCTACTGTAGTATATGCCCTTACGGCACATGTCATTATATTGCTTTGTTATCTAACACCTAATATTTATATTACTTCTAGTCTATACTATTGTGAGTTTTGACTTGTACTTACTTTTTATTCTCCTTGTATTACAGGCTTTTAAAAATGTATCTTTCTCCCTTGTGTGGTTGTAATATCTTTCAGTATAAAGGCTGTATATAATCATCTTTATATCACTGTGACATCTACCTAGTGCTTTGCATATTGTGGGTGACAGTCTGTTTGTTTACATAAATAAATGATTCCGTAAAGTATTCTTAATGCATCCCTTTCCACTCCTAAATTCCACGTCCATAGGTATCATCAAGACAGCTTTGCACAACATGGATCGAGAAAACAGAGAGCAGTACCAAGTGGTGATTCAAGCCAAGGACATGGGCGGCCAGATGGGGGGACTATCGGGGACCACCACAGTGAATATCACGCTGACCGACGTCAATGACAACCCTCCCCGATTCCCTCAGAGTAGGAACATCTGATTGAATGACTTTCTTCTAGGCATTTCATAAAATTCTAACCTTAAGAATGTTTATTTTCCACTGTTGTCATTATTGTCAAAATTCACAGACTTAGTAAGAACTGGCACTTTTATTAAAATTATTAAAATGAGTTGACAACACCACTTATGCTCAGGAAGTATGAACATTTATGTTCTGCCATTGGTAATTAGCTAAGCGATTTCCGATATGGCTGTAGTTTTGAAAAGCAACATCATTATTTTCTTTTTCCTTATTAAAAAGACTACCAGAGACATAAATTTGCTTGTGCAGAACATATGTATACCAGCATGCTGCTATTTGTTAGGAAAAACCTGACTTTATGCTTTGTGAACTTAATCAGGCATGTAATCTCCTTTAAATCCTCACAATGCTTCGTAAGGAAAGGATTTATCATTTTCCTATTTCTAAAAATATGACTCTGGAAGCAACTATGTACTTAATCCATTTGTAATCATAAATAGTTTCCTACATTATGGCTAATTGAGACACTGAAATCATCTCTAAAATCATTAACTTTTATGATTAAATAAAAAGAAAGAAAACATACCTGGGACCATAGACTTTGTATCAAGCAGCACATAAGACTCTTTCCTCTTGCCCAATAGGAACTGGTTTTAATGCAGTTTATCAGCAGGAACAAAATCTCATTCTGACCAGAATCTCCTAAGAAAGTTATCTCAATCAGTGTATAGAAAACCTACTTATTTTATCAGGGAATTTTAAAAAGATGGTCAGCTAATATGAACTTTCGTTATAATGGAGATTCACATGAATCAGTAGGAAAGAGTTTAATCCTCTTTGGTGTTTTTCAAGGATTTAATCAGAGCTAGCTAAATGCAAAAACAGAATAGGTAATCAACTATTTTTATATATAATAAGTAGAAGAAAAGTTTTATGGGACATAAAATTTCCCCCAAAGAGGCCTGAAAATATCAGGATAACCAACATTTTGCCCAAAAACCTCATTTTCAGTATGGAAAGATCCTGGGAAATAAGGGTAATGTCATTCATTCTACTCTTTCTTCACATAGCCTGTGACTTGTTGCTAGACAATGTGCTAGAGCAAGGGAACAGAGACTATAGAGTGAGGCAAGAAGCCCTGAAAATGGGACTTGAATGCATTGGAGAAATATAACCTATTTTATGGGTATACAAAGAAAAAGCCAATATTTAGGGAATTGATATTATTGAAGACCTATACTTTAGTGGTGTCACAATCTGTTTTTTTCTAAACTACTCAAATAAATGGTTGAATTACTCAAATGTAATGAGTAGAAATAGAAAAACTTGTTTTTACAACTTTATTTTATTTAGTTCTAATTACATGCTGCCTTGTCAGGTTTAAGCTAAAACTTACATGTCGTTGCCTTAATTTTGCAACATGAGGACATAACAAAAGTGTTTATCTTTGAAATGCTGGACAGGTTTTGAACTAGTAATTAAAGAAACCTATGCATAGAAAAATATTGTAATAAAATTTAAAAGAAGGAGTTATCCAAAAGGAAAAATAAAAGAGCTCTATCATACAGTCTTTTTATCGATGTCCCTAACTCTGCAACTGGCTGTAGCTCTCCATATGAGTAAATGGATGTCTACTTGTATATAGTCCCCAAATTACTATAATTTACTTCTACCTTCCACTAGTCTGAGCAATGGCAGAAAGAACTCTTTTGAAGAATACCTAGTAATTGACTTCAAGACTAAGTTCCAATTAAGTTTTCTCTTCTCTCTCTTAGATTACATTCAGAGAAGGCTTCAAAACCTTCTGCTCCCTCCTCAAGCACTTCAGTCAGTCTCAGTCACACCATAAACTCGGAAGCCCGTTTATGGGACCAAATATATATATATATCTGCAAGGAGATAAGTCATAAAACAGAGAAATATTCTTAAAATCATAGTAGCCACAACGTAAGGGGAAGAGAGCATCATTTATTATTTTAAGAACTTTTAAATATGCTTTTAAAGAGAAGACAAATCTGCTTCAATCCACTGTGATGTTTTATAGGACCATTAGAAAATGGGCTCTGATTTTACAGTAGTCCCTCATTAGCTGTGGTGCCACTTGCCGCAGCCTCACTTGCCCATTGTAAACCACAGTCCAAAGATATTAAAAAGAATATTTCAGACATTAACATTTCACATTTCAAATAACTTTGATTGTAAGATATTGTTATAATTGTCCTAGGTTTTATTATTAGTTATTATTAATTTCTTACTGTGCCTAATTTATAAATTAAACTTTACCATAGGTATGTATGGTATAGGGAACACCATAGTATACAGTGTATAGGGTTTAGTACTAGCCAGTTTGAGGCACCCACGTGGGGCTTGGAACATATTCCTCACGGGAAATGGGGATTAGCTTATTTTGACAGAGTATGCTTGGTCTGTGGTTTGACTCATATCTATCTGGTAATTAATAGGTACATATCAATTTAAAACTGCTGAATCTTCTCCACCGGGTACACCAATTGGCAGGATCAAAGCCAGCGATGCTGATGTAGGAGAAAATGCCAAAATTGTGTACAGTATCACAGATGGTGAGGGGCTGGATATGTTTGATGTCATCACTGACCAGGAAACCCAGGAAGGGATTATAACTGTCAAAAAGGTAATGCTATTTCTTCAATATCATCGGAATAAACACACTGTTCTCTGATCCATTTTCAGGTTCTTGGGGCAATTCACATCTCACATAAACATTTCCTTTAGATTCTTAGTCTACCAAGTTTTTGTTTTTAAAACCCCAATTCTAATTATACTGATATCTCATGGGTTGGTCTTTAGGGCTCCAAAATAATATTACATATTCATGAATTCTATAGTTTAAGCATATTTTTACTGAAGTAAATAATGTAAACAACACACATTAAAGCACATGAAATAAATAACAGAATTGAACAGTGAATAAACAGACAATGCTACCTATCACCTCAAGTCCTACAGGTGCAATGGCACTTAAAACAGAGATCTCTGCTCTCCTAGAACTTGCAGGCCAGAGAGGGAAGGAAACAAAGAAGCAAGCAAATAAATGCACAAATGTGTAACTGCATATTGTGATACCCGCTTTAAAGCAAAAAGGATAATGTAAGGAGTGATCCAGACGACCCGAATTCGAAAGAAAAGATATATAAAGACCATAAATTTAAGTAACACAAACTTCCTGTGGCTTTTAGCCACTTTCTGAAACACAGTGATAATAAATCTCTTACGTGCTGAACTTTTCTTTTCACCAATGTACTTCTGCATGATTTTGCCACCAAAATTTTTTAGTACCACAGAGCAGTATACCAGTCTGACAAAAGTTAAAAACCAGTAATAAATTTGGCACCTTACAGCTAAAAATGTTAATTCTGGTTAATGTTTTAATGATTTCCCTTTTATCCTATGTAGTGCAATATTTTCTCCCTCCTTTAACACATTGTTATGTTTACTGGTAAATATAAGCATAGGTGGATGTAAATAACAAAAAAAAATGTTTCCTCTTAAGAAAATGTCTTAATATCTGGAAACATAATAAAACATGTTCCAGTGACACTGGAGCCAATGTTTTCTACCATAATGTAATTAGGAAACCCATTAGTGTGCATTAACCTTTTTAATTTTCTTGGTGCTTTATTAGATTCGAACTGAAAGTTTGCCTAGCCAACTAAATCACATTCACTATCATCTTGATTAATTTTGTTTCTAGTGAGCCTTGTTATCATCTAAAACTAAAAGTCAGTAATAAGCCCTTGGATTCACTGTGTCTCCAAAAACAAAAGGACTCTTCCTAAAGACCCTTGACAACCATACTCATTCCTCTCTTTGGTAAATAAAAACTCCAATTCCCTTATCAGGATACCATTCAGAATATTATACTAACTCACACAAAATAAATCTTAACCTATTTTATTGGAATAAGGAAGAAGAAATCGTGATGCAGAGCTAGCTGCACCTTAGTCACTTGGCGGGGGCGGGTGTTACCATCCCCACCCAGGTACAGTGTTTTAGTTTTAATGGAGCAGAGTAGAGACCAGGTACTGGCAAGTTTTCAACACAGTAGGTCTAGTTAGAGCCCAATGTGAGAAAATCTGACAGAATAGCCTACTACATATTACCAACATTCCCATGGTGACAGCCTCAGATCAAATACAAGGATTACCTTAAAGGAGGGGGTTAGGCTGTAGCAGAGTCCTGCTTCCAGCTTCTGGGGGGTTGTGATGCCTGCTGTGCGTGATAGCTAGCATCTCAGCACCCACTTAAAGAACAGCAGGCATGGTTTCGGTCCACACTTTATCAGGATTATGTGGCAGCTGAACCTCTCCATAGATTGTGTAATAGTTTGCCTCCTAATGGTCTAAACTGTGGGGAAAACTTAATTATACCTATATTTACTTTCTCGGGCCTAATATCAAATTAATGTATATTGATTTCTGTAAGTAACAATCGCATTCCTTTATCAGAGATTTGCACACATGCACCAAAAAGGTTCATGAATTGGCTTTCTGCATCTTGGCTGCTTTAAGCATGTCGCTTTCCTTCCCAAGCTCTTGGACTTTGAAAAGAAGAAAGTATACACCCTCAAAGTAGAAGCCTCCAATCCCCGCGTAGAAGCCCAATTTCAATACCTGGGTCCATTCAAAGATTCAGCCATGGTGAGAATCGTAGTGGAGGATGTCGATGAGCCGCCTGTCTTCAGCAAAGTAGCCTACATCCTACAGATAAGAGAAGATGCTCAGATAAACACAACCATAGGCTCGGTCACAGCTCAAGATCCAGATGCCCCCAGGAATCCCATCAAGTAAGCACACCTCTGCAACATGTCTTTCCTAAGCCTCAGTTACGTATACGCAAATGCCCACCTGCACATTAGAAAAAGAGAAATCCCTTTTTTTTCAATAACACAGTTCCTGAAAACCTACCCCAAATAGCACCTTTAAATCTCCTTGCTCAGTGCATAAATACTATTTTTGCAGCAGCATAAACCTACAATATAAAAAGTTTTAAAGAAAACAAAACATAGGGTGACCTGCAAGGAGTTTACTGTTTGCATAGAGGTAGTAAAGCTGATGCAGTTGAACAGCCTTGGTTTTTTTTTTTTTTCAGATTTCAGCTTTTTCTATGTTTTAAGATTTATCAGAGAGTGGAACAAAGAAACAATCCAGACACTGGGCTTGAGAGCCTGTTTCTTAAGTATTGAAAAAACCTATCATGTAATAGAGACAGAATTAGTCTCTATTTGGATGTGCAGTTTTTCCGCTTGTAGTACAAATAAAAATAAGAAGTATTTCATGCTATATCTGTGAAATCTAGGGGAAGCTAATGAAGTAGAATCCAAATTTATGTCCTATAGGCACCCACTGCTCTCCTTGTACTTTCCTGCCACTTTAGTTGTAAATCATGCTGTCAGAAAGCCTCATTGCTCTTTGGGACCACTGATACTTTGAGTACTGTAGAATTTTATGAAAATACTGGAGTCAACCACCCTCCAGGCTTCAGCCAGTAGCCTCATTGATGAAATGAGAAAATTCCAAACCAAAATGCCATTGTGCAAAATATTCCCCATAAATAAAGCAGGAAGATTGAAAAGTTACAGGAATTCTTGCCAGTGAGTCCACAAGTGCATGCTGGGGGGAGGGGCAGCTGTTTTCTAACATTTTAGCTGTTGAATCTCCTTTGTTCCAATGAAACCTTATGATACTACTACATCTAAAACTCAGAAGTGCCTACCTTACTTTTAGGAAGTATTGTTAAATCAATGGGCAGATAAGACTCCTGACTTACCATGCTACGGCAATACCTATGACACCTTGAACTGGACTATGGTCAGGCCAAAGCAGCAACGTGTTAGGTCCATGGATCAAGTATTTCTCTCTCTATACTTGATACTATTAATAAGGGAAATGAAGGGTGGCCTTCACTTAAATAGCACAAATAATTTAATTACTTTCACAACTATTCTCTCCGTTGGAGTTTGTTCTAACTTCCTAAGGAAAAAAATCTTGGCAACTCAATGTCAAGCCCAATTTATAAGTGTTAGTACTAGAAGTTTATAAATATGAGCTTCAGTTATCTCTTTGATAGATCAACATGTTTTGGATTTGAAGAGATAATGTCTTTTGGGAATTTAGGCTCTATTTCTATATCTCTGTTACTTTTTATACCAAATAGCATTTTTACTCACTGCATTATTTTATGTTTTATAAAAGAAAGTAGTTAGCTTGTCAGATTTGGTTAGCTGTTAGTTAATTTTACAGTTTTTTCCTGCCAGCCTTTTCTTGGTACATATGGATTTGATATATGAATATAGGTTTAAGGCCAGAAATACACATATATCCATTGTATATAAATGCATGTTCAAATGATTCCTTTTATAGGATAAAATTCATTCTTATGTTTGGAAAGTAAATCTATACATAGTTTTGGGTTATGCTGGACGTAAATATTGAACACCTAGATGCTAGACAATATGTTAGATGATAAATAAGAGAATTCTCCCCCCAAAATCATTTATTATTCTGTAGCCATGTTTAATTCTTTAATCGCAAAAATAATTTTCTTCTAAAAGCTTTATCACAAATGCTTTTTGATATTCATGGAAGAAACTTATGCCACTATAAATACCTGCTATGAAAAATTTTCATCCAAACATACTTCCTTTTCTAACCCCAAATCTTCCTGACTTAAAGATATAGTAGAAGACAAACTTGTTAATCATAGAATACAATGACGTCCTAGGGTTAAAAAATAAAGAGCTCCCCAAAACAATGATCTGCTATAACCATGATGGAATTGATTGCCTTATTTTTTAATGGTGATGATTACAATTAATGTTATTGGACAGTAAATATCATTAATAGAAATTGAAACTGCTGTGAAGTAAAACAACAAAAAGCAAATAAGGTTTTGTATGCAAGCAACTTTCCTAAACAATACAGGTAGTTTACATTTTCTATTAATTCTCTAATTTCCCAAATAGGGAAAAATAGTGTACATTTTGGCATTTTCTAAATAGTTAATCTCTCTTTAAAACTTAAAGCTGCCTTCAATTTAAAACTTCCTTACCACTTACCCTTTATTCAAGGCTTGATGTAAAAATGTGATCACTTGTAAAACTTGTAACTTAAAAGCAGGAAGCAAGGAGACAAAGCATGATAAGGATTACTGCTGTATATAATTATAACAGCTTATTAAGGCACTAAGCAGCACTTCTCGAGCTTGACATTTTTCATGAGAAAAAATATATTCATAGATTAAATTATTAAACTTCTCACAAAGCTTATGAATATTGAGGCTTCCTTTTTGTAATTAACTATATAAATATAAATATTTATCATTCTCAAATTAAAAATGAAGAGAGATGATCAAGCTAGTTCAAGGCTGTTGCCTAAATTTTTAATAAATGGTGACCCACAACAGATATGGCAAAAACAATAGCTTTTTCACCTGTTTTAAGCCTTTTGATAATAAAAAATTAGTTTATATACCTTGAACACAAATTCCAACCTAACCTGATATCCATTTCGAACTTCATTAATTTTCTTTAAAATCAAGTTTAAATACCTTCTAATAGTTGAATGTCTATTTCATTTAGACACCTTCTAGATGACAAAAATAAATTTTATTAAGACAAAATATATCATTTATAACTCACCACTTATGTTTTAAACAAAAATAATTCCTTGAAATAGAATCTTGGACATTGTATACTATTCTAAATCAGTAACAACTTTTCTTACAGCAATAATAGTAGTTCCACATGGGCCTAACTAGTTAGGTCATTTACTTTATATTACTTCTAAGCTGACATTTTTAAACCTCTTATCGTAAGTTTTCAGACTCCAGCTGAAATGAGCAGTTATTTTTCTAATGTCTTTAACATATCAACTTTCTTCAAAGTTTTCTCTTTAATGCTCTTCTCTTGTAAACATACATATATAATTCCCCCTTACATGGCTATTCAAAAAAATAGTCACCAAAATAATTAATTGATTAAAACTAGTAACAAACATTTATTAAACTAGTATATTTATTAAACTATTAAAACTAGTAACATTTATAAATAAAGTAACAAATATCAGGATTGATGACTCATTTCTTCTTTGGCTCCTAAAATGCTGCCCTTGGTCTCTTTAATGCTTCCAAACTCTCATCCTTGAATATCTGTCCGGCTCTTTCTCTATTCCAGGCACTGTTCTAGTCCTCATAGGTACCTGCTCTTTCATTTGTCCTGTAGGTGACTCTGTCCTTAACACTTTTCATCCTTCCCTGGGTGTTTGCTTCCTGAACAGTTAAATAAGAAATCTAGGTTGTCAGTCTAGATCTTTATCTTGAGCGTCAGAATAGGTAGCTCCTCCTAGACTTACCTGTGTGCTTCAGCCTCAAAATATCAAAAATGGAACTTAAGATCTTTAAATCCTGTTTCTCACTCCTTGTTTATTAACTTATATCAGCACCATCCAACCATTCTCTCAATTTAACCATTGATCTTTGTTAAATGATTTAGATTCTGGCACTTCCCTGCTGGGAAGAGGTTCACATTGTGCTTAAAACAGATTCGCACTGTGCTTAAAATAAAGCTCACTTTGAATGTAACCTAGTAAAACCACTAAGGAAATCAGTATGCAGAGTCTTCAAAAAAACTAAAACATAGAAATTCCATTTGACCCAACTATTCCCCTTCTGAGTATCTTCCTAAAAGAGTTAAAGACATCATATCATATTGATATATGCATATCGATGTTTATAGCGGCACAAATCATAATAGCTAAATCCTGGTAGCAGCCAAGATGAACAGATAGAGAAAATGTGATGTTTTATCCACAATGGAGTACCACTGTGCCAAAAGGAAGGGTACATTTCAGTCATTTTTAGGGAAACGGATGCACTTTGAGATCATAATGCAAAGCGAAATAAATCAGACACACAAGCTCAAATATTGCATGGTTTCACTTATATGAGAAACCCAAAGCATAAATAATTTAAAAGCCAAATTTTAAAAAGACAATATGAAACAAGAAAATAGGTCATTTGTAAATAGGAAGGAGACAAGCCAAGAAGTAGAGGTGGGAGGAAGTGGAAAGACTTAAGATGTGTGGTGGACGTGTGCAAACTTCCCTTGCTGAATGAATCAGGATTTACTGCAGACGTGTACTAAGAAAAAGTTAAAGATAAATAAATAAAATATTTGCAGATCAAAATCTAAAACACAATAAATCCCACTTTCCTCCTATGGCCAGCTCATCCTTCTGTGGTCTGGACTCTGGGTCTCTCCCTCCGCAACTCCCTCCTCACCTCAGCCATACAGGCATCTTCTGTTTCTCCAACCAGATTATTTTAAAAATGAAATGGATAGTAGAAAAATAATCAATACCCTATATGTTCACACAAACACACATTTATTAAAATCTTGAGGTTCTTGAGTTAAAAATATAGTAATTACTACATAAACCTGATGCAAATTTCATATTTAAGAAAAAGAAACTGTAGGGGTGATCCACAAAATCATGCAACTAGTCTATTGAGTTTATAGCAAAGGCCTCAATTGTAAAAATCTAATTTCCCAGAATATTTTGCTTCATATGAAGGTACAGATATTTAAATATGCACTAGAAGTAGAAAAATGAATATAACATATTCTGGGAATAATTTTATAATGTGAGACTACCAAATGCAAGGAAAGCCTATTTAAATTCTGCTCTGCATTTTCAGGTACTCTGTAGACCGACACACAGATATGGACAGAATATTCAACATTGATTCTGGAAATGGTTCGATTTTTACATCGAAACTTCTTGACCGGGAAACACTGCTGTGGCACAACATTACAGTGATAGCGACAGAGATTAGTAAGTCCAATCTAGTATTACTACTGTCCCAAATGATGGAGCGTGTGTCCCGGGAAGGGCTGAGGGGACACAACTGGAACTCCTCACCACGTATTGATGACCCTGCTCAATACCTATTGAGGGGAAGAGTCCTGAACGATCTACAGTAATGTCTCTTCCAAATATGTGCTTGTTCATTCATAAATGAGCAGGCAATCTTGCAGGTTTTGCAGTTGGGAAACAATAAAGGAATGCATCTCTCAAATGAAACTAAATTTGTACTTATTGGATTTGATTCCAAAATGCTTATAAGTTAGAACATTGCAGGAATAGTTGGGAAAAATGGGCCCTCGGTTAGACATTGTGTAGGGGAGCAGGGGACAAGAGGAATCAAATATCTTTAAAATGTACGCATTGTTTAGAAATCTTTTGGATATTCATTCTCTAGCTTTCTATAGAATTTCTATTTTCAAATCTTTATAGAATGAAAAACACAATTATCAGTTCTCCAAAGTGTTTCAAATTGAGGAATACAAACCATCAAGTAGTCAGTAAAATGTTTTGAATAAATTTTGTGGTACTCCTCATGACATTTAAGGCAAAGAAAAAAAAATGTGCCAAAAGAACACTTCAAATAAAATGATTATACTCCATGAAAATTAATGTGAATTATAGGCACAATGTATGGGCTGAAGCACATAAAATTACCTTTAAAATAATACTTTAATGTTAAAAATAGGCTTTGAATTATAGCCTTTTTAAGTTTTGTTCTTAATTCTAAAAGATCTAAACATTTTTATCTCTGTTGGATATCTAGTGTGAAATAGTCCATATCAAATGGCTTATTACAGTCATATTTTGTCAACATAACTCATGAGATTTGAAATAGCTGAAGCATATTGGGTGGGATAGGAAATAACCAATCCAGGCAAAATGAAGCTCTGCTCTTTTATAGGGATAAGGACACCTCAGTAGACATTTGTTAGATAGGAATTTGCTCTTCAGAATTTATGCCAAGGATTGGTGTGAGTATACCAATAACAATGCACCCTTAAAGCTTTAAAATTACAAAATGATTTTCTGTTGAAAAGAACCATTTTCATTTTTAATTGTTTCTCATTATGCTAGATGAAAAGCCTGGGCTTTGGAGTCAAAGAGATCCAAGTTCGAACCTATGCTCACCTCCTTAGTATCTCTGTAAAAATAGATAAATTACTTAGTTTCTCTGTGCCTCTGTTTCCTCATCTATGAAATGGGGCAGCAACTGTATCTACAACAGATGAGTCTAAAGATTAAACAAACTCGTATAGCAAAGTTCTTAGCATGATGTCAACCTCAAACTACAAAATTAAGGCGCAAACTAATCCTTTGGTTTCCTGGTAGTCCGTTCATTTGTCTTTTTCTTCCTTTTGTCCATATTTTTCCCCATCTGCCTGTGTCATTGGCCTCCTAGAAAAATCTACTTCTAAAACACCATATTTGTTTTATTTGTTGTTACCATAGTGTTTAGTATGCAAGTGTACTGCATCAACACATGTAGGCATTTCCAGCAGGTATTTCCAACTCTAGAAATACCAGATTACCCAGTTCTTCTTTTTGGTGCCCACATTGATATTCAGTGTCCTTGGAGAATCTGTGCATGAATGGGGATGAAAGGGTTCGTGTTGTCTAAACAGGATTGGTGATCAACATGTAAATGGCTATTTCTTTCTTTTTGGTATGTGGCAGATAATCCAAAGCAAAGTAGCCGAGTACCTCTATATATTAAAGTTCTAGATGTCAATGACAACGCCCCAGAATTTGCTGAGTTCTATGAAACCTTTGTCTGTGAAAAAGCAAAGGCAGATCAGGTGAGTTTTGTAAGGTAGTACATTCAAATTGAAAGATTAGTTTAGATCTTATAATAATTCAGATGATACAGAAAGCTGAGAGCTAGTTTTGAATTATCTATGAAGTGAATGCTAAGGAGATTAATACCATAAATAAGAGCCACGACAAATGTTTAACTTGCATAAGAGAACAAACAGTTTTTAAGAACTGGAAGTTCGTGAGTCTCCAAGACTGATCCTGATTCTAAATTAGTCTTACATTTTTATTAAAATACATTAGTCTCAGCATTATTGGAAAAATCTTTATTGATGAAGAGATAGTTTAATTACCATATGTACTCAAAAATAATAACTAGAACATATTTTACAATTGCCTATATTTCACAGTTTTGCTTATTTACATTGCCCATCTGTACAAGTAATACAAATTCATGAATGTTTTACTGTTTTACCCAATTTGTCGCCACCTGAAATAGGACTTTGCTACCAGTGATATAAAAATTATGTTGCAGTTTGTCAAAATAGAAGTCCACTATTAAAGTACATGGGAAAGTGGGAAGCGGAAGTTACTATGTTTTATATGTTAATTTTCTATTTTAGTTTTCTGCAAATTGGTAGCTTATGGACATGTGAAGTTCTAAAAGGTTGACAAAGAATGTTTCCATTTTCTTAAATTTCAGTGTTGTCAAAAATCATTGTGATCTTTTAGAGCTTTGTATTACTCTGGCGTAGTTTCTCAGCCAGGGCAATTTGGGACCCTGGGTACACTCGGCACTGTCTGGAGACATTTTCAATGAGCACAACTCAGGAGGGCACTAATCGCAGCCAGTGGGTAGAGACCGGTGCTGCTGCTAAACACCTCCATCCCCCAAAGATCCCCACAGTCAAGAATTATCCATTGTTCTATGGCTTTCTACCCATCGGTTCTTTGAATACAGTGGATTCATTTGTAAGGTTTTGAGAGGTTATTATTTTTAATTAAAATTAAAAATCATAAAGCCAAACATTTTACTGAAAAACTGTAAGAAACACTTGAGTTATCAAAATGTTATGGCTTTCATTTCAGTTAATCCAGACCCTACGAGCTGTTGACAAGGACGACCCTTACAGTGGACACCAATTTTCCTTCTCTTTGTCCCCTGAAGCAACCAGTAGCTCAAACTTTACCATTCATGACAACAGAGGTAAGCAATCTCTAGTTACCTTCTCTATCAATCTATCTCTGTCTCTGTTGGGATCTATACGCGTATCTGTGTCTATCTCTATGTTCATCAATTCTCATCACAATTGGTTCAATATATAAGGTGATAACCATATGCACTCACCACTTTGCTTTTGGTTCCAGACAACACTGCGGGAATCTTAACTCGGAAAAATGGCTACAATAGACATGAGATGAGCACCTATCTCCTGCCTGTGGTCATTTCAGACAATGACTACCCAGTTCAAAGCAGCACTGGGACAGTGACTGTCCGGGTCTGTGCATGTGACCACCACGGGAACATGCAGTCCTGCCATGCGGAGGCCCTCATCCACCCCACGGGACTGAGCACAGGGGCTCTGGTGGCCATCCTCCTGTGCATCGTGATCCTACTAGGTAAACTGCTTCTCCCTGCATCCTATCTCCCCTTGGTGAGGGGCACACACTGTCACTGTGACACTCTAGATTTTTCCGCCTCCCCCATTAAGGCATACAGCCTGATCTAGGTGAGTAGAGTTGTATGCTGAGAATCTGTGTTGTTCAAACATGAACTCGTTTTTGCTTGAAAATGGCTTTAGAGAATGAACAGATGTGAAATTTGCCCATGTCTTTGCTTTTGTTCCACCAAAAAAGTGTCTTGTCTATCAGACCAGAAATGGATCTCAGGGGGATTTGAGGGCAATATAAATATGATTTGTTGTTTGATACTTAAGTTGGCAAATACTGTTAAATTTTAAAGAGTGAAAGTTGTCCAACATGGAGTGTATGACGAAGGCCCTTTCTACAAAGGTAAAGTTTAAGATCAATGGAAAAGTGGAAAGAGGACTGTGATGACTTTTTCTCTCTCATACATGAAAAATGAAAGCATGAAATTTTCTTTAACCCAACAAACATTTTGATCTACCCACTTCACTGACTGCCTTCGTAGGTTACTACATGCCTAATGTCTATTATTTTCCAAGTCTCAAAGATAAATAACTTCTGTGACTAAAGAAACAAACTGGGAATCCAAAAGAAATGCAATAAAAGTGAAAACTGAGGTCTAACAATGATTCAAATGAAATATTTAACTCTAATCAACCAATTAACCCAAAATGTTGAGCTCAAATTGCTCAAGGGGCCCTTGAGCATTTATGAACTAAAAAGTCAAATATTAGCTAATGCAGCCCTTCCAAAAGCAAATGCAAGACTTGTAAAGTTTGCATATATAATGAAAAAACAGAAATTAGAAGTTAGAGTTAACCTAGATTACAACAGGGAAAAAAACTTAAAAAATAAAGACACAGTCACTTCAAGAAAAGTAAAAGACTTGCATGTCTCCAAGAAAAGATGAAGAATCCCTGCTCCAGAGCTTCTCATTCCAAATCCCTGTTGCTAATTATAACAGAAGCCTTGAAATTCAACTTAGAGCTGTGATTCTCTTTATCCACTAAAATTTGGGCAAGTATTTTAAGATGAGGATAAATAAAAACTACAAGTGAGCAAAAAGACAGATCAGTGTTCCTAAGGCTGTAAGCCTATGATATTGTTTGGAAGGGAAGGGCATGAATATTCTTTTTGATAAAAAGGAGTATTTTTAGAAGTCCTAGGCTGGCAGGGCTGTGCCCCAGTATTAGTGCTGGGCTCTTTTTATGGTCTAAGAAAGAAAGCTATCTCCCTCCTACAAGGGACTCCTAATTTTCTCATCATTGACATTCTCTTTTGCATTTTCTTGCTTCTAACTTGCTCTCTCTTCTGCTTTCATTCCCTTCCTCCACTAAATTCACTCTCTTCATTATTCCCAATTGGCCTCAGTGCCTCTCACATCTTGTTTATCTCTTGGGAATCCCATCCCTGACAGATGTGGAGAAATGGGATTTAACCTGAACGAGGCTCACACCATAAGCCAGATGCAGTGCAAGGAGCTTTACGAATGTTTATCTCACTTACTCCTCAGAAGCACCTGGCATATATTTATCTGTATCTTAAGTATGAAGGCTGAGACCCCTGGATGTGAAGTCACATGTGTAGCAGGTGGTAGAACTAAGTTCCAAGCCTGGGATTTCACCCCTCAATGCTGCACTCTGCTTTTTGTGTCACTTTACTGACAGCAGAGCAGTTTCCAGGGTGAGAGAGGGGCCAGACTTAATTGGGACAGATGGAGAAAGTGAACGCAAACCCAAAAGCTTGTCAGAGAAGGAAAGCCACATCCATGTATAAAGAAACCCGGATTTAAGAAAGTAGACAAGAGCCTGAGATGTAGCTCAGCAGTAGGGCACTTGCCTAGCATGCATGAGGCCCTAGATCAATCCCCAGCACCAGCACCAAAAACACAACTAAATATATAAATGGATCATATGAACTTGTTTTTTATAAAAATAAAACAATAGAAACATCCAAATAACAACTACATCTCATATCTCTATGGCACTTTAGAGTTCATAAAACTTTCACATTTATTAACTGCTTCCTGGTGATAGCGCTGGGCACTGTATTATTCCTCCTCTTCCTCGGATTAAAAACAGTCTAGGTCACACCAGGGCTGGGGATTTAGCTCAGTGGTTCCACTGCCTGCCTAGAAAGCACAAGGTCCCGAGTTTGATCCCCAGTACCAAAAAAAAAAAAAAAAAACCCAAGGTGGAAGCTTGTGATGTAGCTCAGTGAGAAAAGCCCTGGGCTCAACCCCAGTATTACCAAAAGCTCACACCATTGAAGTTAACCTAGATCTGCTGATATTCTACTTTTATGATGAGATTTGAGCACAAATTTGCCCAATGACCCCTCTTCTAAAAAAGCTTTATTACCATCCTCTGGCCCCAGGTGGGTGGGGAGAAGGGAGGCTCAGTTCCTGATAAGGGTACCTCGAGGTATGTCACTGTTTTAGAATTCTTTGCATTTGATTAGAAATCAATTTATAAAAGTTAACTTTCAGAAACGCCTCACTTCTAGACAACTAAAAATTCCATTCAGATATGATTACAAAAAATAAAAAAAGATATAGGTAGTTTTATCTGAAGGAGAATTAAGCTGGGAGTAAATGCCTTTGAATTTTTGAATGTGCCTTCTCTCTTCTAGATAGTTGTGCTTTCATATGTCCATAGGACTAACAATAAGACATCTGGGTGTCTTAAACTGAAGAATTGAAAAACGGTGAATAACTGCTGTCTTGCCTTAAATGACTGAAATAACTCATGCACATTAGAGTGCAATTCCTTGAGGGACAATTGTCTTGGCTTTGTTTCCTAATCCCAAAGTCTGTCCTTACTTACAACCCTGTTTTGCAAATCTATGTCATGATCGCACTGGAAACCATCATAAGAGGTAGATTGCAGCCATCCCTCAGCCCAGAACCCTGCAAGTCTCCACCTCCACCCCACTCCCACCCACCGAGGCAAAGGTGAAAGAGGCACAGAGGCCTCCATGGCCTCTTGGGGCACAGCCCTTCTCTACTCCTGTCCTCTCCTTGGTTCCTCCTAGTCCAGACCCCAAGTCTTCTGGATGCTGCTCCAACAATGGGAGTCATACCCACCGTGAGGGTCTTTCCTGTAGCTCTTTCCTCTTTGCTAGATAACTCCTTGGGTAACCCTCGTATCTTTGTTAAGTGATGCAACCTCCCTTCAAAAAACATGAGCAGCCCCTGGAACACGTAGAGACGCCACTCCTCCTCCTCCTCTCACTTCACTTTTCCTTGTTTACATTGCACTGACCACTTTTTAATGATTTCTCTCTTGGTTTTGCACATTGTTGATTTTCTGTCTCCATCCACCATTCCTTGCACCCCTGCCAACTCTGAGAGCAGGGCCCTTTATCCAGTTTTCTCAATGATAGGATCTAGAACCACACCAGGCACACAGTAGGCACTACATAAATATTTATTGAAAGGATGGATGAATATCCTGGATTTTGTGACAAATGAGTCATCAGGATGTTCTCTGGCAGCACCTGAGAGTGTGAACAGTCACAACCACACACTGGAAAATGGCAAAATTACATCTCTTTTGGCAATAGACAGTAATCCAAATATGTTTCAAGCATGGAAATTAAGAATGGGGGCTTCTAGGGTGAAAAAAATAAGAACCAAGAGAGATTATGTAAAGGTGCAAATTTCCAATGATAAATGTCATTATATTGTATACCTAAAATGTACCAATGATTAGAATGAATAATCGATAATGTAAAATAGGAAGAAAAGGTCCAAAGGGGTAGGGGTAGTGGGAGGGGCAGGGGAAAGGAAAGAAGGGAAAGGAAAAATGATGAGAAATGGAAATAAAGTCTTTGTAAATAGGGAAGGGTGGAGGGGGTGAAGGGAGGGCTAGGAAAGGGGAAAAAATAAGAACCAAGATGCATCATGTAAAGGTTCAAGTTCCCAATGAGAAATGTAAATGTGTTGTATACCTAAAATGTACCGATAAAAGAATTTAAGTAATAAAAAAAGTCAAAAAAAAAAAGAGGGCTTCTTAATCTGACAGACCTAGATCTGAATGGCTTGTACATGTGACATTTCTATGCCTTAACTTTCTTTTATGTAAAATGGAGTTATAATGATGATACTTTCTTTGTGGGGTTATTATGATAATTAATTGAGATTCAGCTTGGAAGTTGCCTAGAACAGTCATTGGTATAGAGAAAGCATTCAATATGTAGGCAGTTATTAATACTATTAATGTCAGAATTATAATATATAGACACATCGGTAGGTATCTAGGCATCCATTATTATACAGATAGATGCACTTACCCACTAAAAAGCCATAGTTCTGTAAATCTTGCTGCAAAATTTCAATTTTCATGACTTATAGAACTGGAGTGTGTTATTAGAGAGATATTACAGAGATGTTACTGGTACTTCCTATAATAAACACCTCTAGACAAACCTAGCTTAATAATATGTTTTCCGCCCTGGATGGCTGTTTTCTTTGGAAGCTGTTGCTATATGTTTATTTCCCACCCATAGGTCCATTTGTAGATAGATGTGTCTCTCTACAAGTAGCCAACTTTGTTCTACCCAGCCAGCTGTGAAAAAAGATCAGGAGCTATTTAAACACAATTCTTGCTTTGCCTCTAATTTGTGTTAGAAGGAAAAAAATGAAAAAAGCAAACATTCTGGGTATCAAATGAGAGAAAAAGAACCTTTGAAAAATAAAGAATTCTCATTTAGAAGTGTTTGTTTTATTTAGTCCAGGCAGAATAATATAGAATGTGTGCTACGATGTGCCCCCATTTTAATCGGCTGATCTTGAGGCCCAAAAAGCCTTTCTGGATCTCAGCTTCTCCAAGTATTATCTGTAATGATATTTCTTTGTATGGAGAAAAAGTAAGCAAACATTCACATCTCTACTTTGGGTTTTAAACTAATTTTACACCTTTTCAAGTAAAATAAAAAATAATGCATAGTGCAAAAGTTATTTTAGATGTGGAGTTATGCAAACCCTTCAACACATCCCCAAGGTGCCAGCCTTGTCCTGAAAACCAGTTTCAGAGCATTTTAGGTGTTTGGCATAATTTTGCACTTTTATTGCAGTATTTTCTTTGTGGCTGAGCTTTTTTATTGTTTTAGTTTTTCTTCCCGTGAAACTAGTGTGCCATTTCAAAGCAAAAAAAAAAAAAAAAAAAAGAATTACTGACAAAATATGATGGTGTTTTATCCTCTACTTAAATTATAACCTTCTTTCAAATATTTACTCCATTTTTTGGATCCTGCTTTGAAAATGGATGGAGGCAAATGCATCCTTACAGAAGTAAAAGTTGAGTCTGAATTTCTTCAAGCACTTTCAAAACTTCACATTGGAGTATGGTGTTCTTCCCGGCATTAATTGGGCAGCAAATTAACTATCCCTTCCCTTTCTGTTTTGTTGTCTGCTTCCAGTGACAGTGGTGCTATTTGCAGCTCTGAGGCGGCAGCGGAAGAAAGAGCCCTTGATCATTTCCAAAGAGGACATCAGAGATAACATTGTCAGTTACAACGATGAAGGTGGTGGAGAAGAAGACACCCAGGCCTTTGATATCGGCACCCTGAGGAACCCTGAAGCCATAGAGGACAACAAATTACGAAGGGACATTGTGCCTGAAGCTCTTTTTCTACCCCGTCGGACTCCAACAGCTCGAGACAACACCGATGTAAGAGATTTCATTAACCAAAGGTTAAAGGAAAATGACACGGACCCCACAGCCCCGCCGTATGACTCCTTGGCCACCTATGCCTACGAAGGCACCGGTTCGGTGGCCGATTCCCTGAGCTCTCTGGAGTCTGTGACCACGGATGGAGATCAAGACTATGATTACCTTAGTGACTGGGGCCCTCGATTCAAAAAGCTGGCAGATATGTATGGAGGGGTGGACAGCGACAAAGACTCCTAATCGGTTGCCTTTTTCATTTTCCAATATGACACTGAAATATGTGAAGTGGCTATTTCTTTCTATTTATCCACTATTCCGTGAAGGGTTCTCATACCTGTTCCAAAAGCCAATGGCTGCAGTCCGTGTGGATCCAATATTAGAGACTTTTTTCTAGTACACTTTTATGAGCTTCCGAGAGGCAAATTTTTATTTTTTAGTGCATCCAATTAACCAAGTCAGCTCAGTAGGCAGGCACTGGAGGAGTGGACAGGGAGCTGTATTTTCACTTTTTCTCCGAGGCCGGGTTTGGAACATGCTGGTTACCACTGGCCTGGCGCTTTACTACACTCCATTGCCTCGGGTCAGCTGACTGCCCTAACTGTACATTTCACATGCTGATGAGATAAAGGATTCTGCTTTAATGACAAAGACATAGTTTTAGTTTAAAAAAAAAAAAAAGGAACAACTGGAGAGTCGTTCCTGTTATATCAGCTCACAAGGAGATAATAATAAACTACGTAAGGATTGCGAGGGTGTGTATTTCTGTCACAAAGAATTTTAAATGGCATTCAGCCGGTCTTGTTTGTGCTCTGAATACTTTATCTGGCAGCAGCTACTCAAAGCATCAAATCCACAGATGCTTTCAGATCCTTTTTCTCTTAAAGAATAGAAGCATATTAAATTGTAACATTCAAAGATAACAATAACAAAAAACTTAAGACGTCGTTCCTTGCCACTAGGGCAAAATGTGTTACATATAGGGCATGCAAAAGATTGCCTTTGCACCATATCAAGGGAAAGAGAAAATGGCTAATAACGTATACAAAGGAAATACTTATCATATTTTAAAGTTTTGGCCACCAGATGTATCACAGATCTCTTGAAATTCTTTCAACAACCAGCAGGCTAATGACCAATCATCTAGTTGTTTAAAAGTTCCTGAAGGATATTTTTCTGGGACAAATGTTAATTCCTTGTATGTAGTTGTCAGTATTATTCTACTATACCTGAAAGTAGCAGAGTGAAGTACGATAATTCTTATTCCTCAGAAACTGCTTACACAATTAACTTGACTTAGTAAGAATAGATTAAATTAAGCTCAAATCCTACTCTTGGAGTTCAAGGAAGATTGCAGTGCCAGCCACATTGGAACCTAATGCTGTGCCCCTCACATCCTGAACATCTACATGCACATACAACATAATAGATAGAGATGAACACTGAAATCACACTAGAAACATATGTATTCCATGATTGGAAGGTGGATACAAAGACACAACTAGGATCCCCTTCAACACAAGTGTTCAAGATTGTAATTAAAAGGATAGTTGACCTTCAAAAGTATTAATATTCTCCATTGTTTATAACTTTGCTTCCATGGCAAAAGGATGGCAAGCCTACCATCCTTGTCTTTGAACTAATGATAGGTAATGGTCTCAAACTATGACAGAAAAGAAATGTAAAATCCATCCAATCCATTATTTCTCTAATTATGCATTTAGCACTGTAGTCAGTTATTATCCAGGGGACCCAACTGAACTGAACTAATCCTTCTGGCAGGTTCAAATCATTTACTACATATGGCTATTCTAATGGCTTTTATCATTAGAATCTTACATTGTCCAGTCACCAGAAATTTCCGAAGTACTGTAATGAAAACATTCTTGTTTGAAAAGTTTAAAAATAGGCTCTATGTATATATATAATATATGCTTAAGAATATGTTGACTTCACTTATTAATCTTAGGGATTTATTTTCAGTCAATGTTTATTTTCTAGAGATAATCTCAGTGCCATTTCCATTTGGGGATAACATCATCTCAGCACATATTTTCTGTTTGGAAACACACTATTGTTTAGTTAAGTTTTAAATGGGCATATTAACCAGGACATAAAGGTAGCACCTTTAAAACAAGAGAAATGTAGAATTTGAGTTAGAGTAAAAATTTTTACAACTGTATTATTCCTTGTGTTCCCTGAATGATTTCCTATATATTGTAATGAGCTGTCCTGTATACTAACAACCATTTTATGTTTCATTCTTGGGCTATTTCCAACTTTTAGAATGTTCTTTTACTAGTTCTTCATACACACACATGTAAACAAACACACACATGGAGGAATGTAAAGAAAATATACGAGAGGGCTTCACATCAAGGAATAAGTATGTATTATAGTCACAAGTAATGTTTTAAGAGATAGCTTAGTAAAATCAATAAGAACTAGATATTTATAGCAATAGAATGGCACCTTAATCACAAAATTTATGGTAAAATTAAAGAGTGTTCTATCTTTACATTTCATGTCATATAACAAGTTGGGCCAAGAAAGGTAGTCCCATAAAAAGACAAGTATTATCAAAAGTCATACCTCTGAACTTTTGGTGTTAATTGGAATTTCTGAGGGTTAACACCAGCAATTTCCAATGTTTCAGGGTAAAGTTGACTTTTTCCTTCTAAGTGAAAGTAAGCAGTTCTACAGTGTAACGTTTGAGGTGTAAGTGCCTGGATATTTTATCCCACCTTAACAATGGCATATGGTGTCAAGAACAGGTTGATACAACTATTGAATAATTGGTTAACTTCTTACCACGAAAGCTATGCTAAAGTAAATTTATAGAAAATTGGATACTTCAAGCCTGGAGCTGAATATTGAGTGCTATCTTCCTGTAAGTATCAAGTTAGCAGAGTTTCTTTCTGTAAGACTTCATGACATCATGCAAACATTAAAAGCCAACAGTTCCATCATTCTTCTGCTCATCCTCACTTCTTTCCCACCAAATATTAGCTTTATCACTACTCCAAGTGCAGGTTTTCTAAAGTCTTAGGTCCTGGGTCACCATAAGAAAATTAGTTTTAAGTTCAATTTTCACATTGTCTGTGTCTTGATTTTAGATATTGATGAGGAGAAGGTTGAAGCAGAGTGGGAAGAAGTAAAATTTTAATATATGTTTTTAATTATAGAAATGAAAAATTTATTAAACAAAAGTAAGTTGCTTTTGTGTACAAGATCATTTCAAGGACATTGAAGTCTTTCTGACATTTTTTTTATTTTTGCCCTCTATTCCAGGGGAAGTATTTCATTAAACCACTAAGATATACCCTAGAATAAGCTAAAACTTTAAAAACATTAACCCATTACACCTAAGTTTAAAGCCCTTTCATTTTGTGCCCACTCTCTACTGAAAATATTTGCCTCTAAATAAGTAAATAAATGAAATAGGAAAGAAGCAAAGATAGTTTCATAAAATCATAAAAGTGGAAGTCTGGGCACAGTAAATACATATTTCTTTTGGAATTTCCCCGGTTTTATAGTCTGGGTACATAAAGGAAGGTTCAGCTACAAAATTACTCCATTTTTAGATGGAACAAAACTGGTGATTCAATTTAACTCAGTATAAAAATATGTGGCTTAGTTTTCATTTTCAGCTCCTAAAAAGTTGTGCAAGAAGTTCTTAAAAATTGAATTCATATCTTAGAAGCATCCAAATTTTGTGGATCCAAAATAACTTTGTAATGTTTCTATTACCCTACTTCTAAGTACATAAATCTTAGATGTCCTGAATTGTTAAACAATATCTTACTTCAAATGCTTTGCCCTGAAATGGGTATTTCCTTTGGGATAATGATATATAACTACCAATTAGACATTCTGAGATTCTGTACATTGTAGCACCATAAAAATATGCAGCTGAAAGGAAAGAATGAGGTTGATTTCTGGGTACTAACTAAATTTTTAAATCAGATACTTACCCTTATCAACAAAATTCATTTTCCCTAGGAACAGAGCCATCAAATAAAACTCTTTTATCCTAGTCCCTAGTTTTAAAGTGGTATAATTACTTTGGAAGAACAGTCTAAAAAGTCATGATCCCCACATTTTTTGAAAGATATTCTCTGAAAAGGATCATTTTAGTGTAATTTTAATTTTTATGTTTTATCTAGATGAAATCTTTTTTGAAATATGACATTGTGACAAAGGACTCAAAACCCAAGCAGTCTGCTGTGTTTAAATTAGCACTGCAACCTAACCTTCTTCATCAGATTGTAAGAAAAGAAAGATTAACACTTGGCATGTGAATCTTGAGGAAGATGAACTATTCCCTAAGCTTTGACAAACAGCTTTCCTTTCCAGAGAATACAATTACAATACAGTCTCCTTAAAAGTTCAGTGGCTATTACAGTTGCAGCATTTTAAATCTCCCTTTGGCATCTTTATAGAATAATTTTCTAAAGGGATAATTCTCTACTACAAATACCAGACCCCAACCACATTTAATGCAGAACACAATACCCTCTTAGAAAGCAAATACATTGACTCACACACTTGTTAAAAGTTAATAAAGAAATAGTTCATTTTTAAAGCCAGAAGTTTATGGTCTCTGCATCATCAATTTAATTTAAGCATTGCTGAGACAATCTGTAATCTACTCCTTATTTTGTAATACCTTATTTATGATGCATTTTCATTTTTTAATTTGGGGGGGAATGTGAGCCCAACAGAGCCAGCAGATGAAAGTGCAGAAAGGAGGTCAAATGGAAACAAAGGCTATTACCCACTGTATTTCAGACAGTACAGAGGCACTTAGCTGAAGAGCCACTGGGTTATTAGATTAATTTCAAAAGAGCTTTTACAAGTTGCTTAATTCCATTTTTTTAAAAACCTATGGGCCACAAACTCAAATTTCTCCTCAAATGGGGTTAATTTGACAAATGAAGCATGGACCCAGCATTGCGGAAAAAGCATTCCACTATAATGAGATCTTGGTCTTTCTTGTGAGACTATGCTATTTATGTAAATATATCTGGAGGCACCTTCTACAAGCTTTTAGTTTTCCATGATCTATTAGTTTACTCTTTGTTAAAGAATCAAATGTATAGAATTACTAGACATTCAGGGGGAATGCTGTATAGCAACTGTAAAATGGATCTGCTCAGAAAAAACACAAGGACACTTCAAACCCACTGTACTGTTCTGTTGGTGATTATTTTCATGGCATTGAGAGTAAACTACATCAAAATAGGCCTTATAATAAATCCAATGTCCATCTTTAGTAATACCAAGCTAAGGCAATTTGGCACTCTCCTACTGTGATTTGTGATTTTAAACCAAGAAAATAAAAGCGTTTTGGTATCGATTGTATTTAATTAAAAATACTTCCAAGTATAAATTGAAACTGTTGCCACCCTTGAAGTTTCACTAGTTGGAGCGCTCTGCTCATGTTGTTTTTCGCAGTATCATTCATGTCTTCAGCAACAAGAATACCTGAGGGAAACAATCCCTGCTGAGCTTCCCTCCGCATTTCTGGTTATGGAGATTTTCTTAACTTCACAGTTTACCTGGGAAAGTTTTCTGTATTAAAAGAATGGGATTGAAACAATTACCTTGTAGCTCAGTGTGGCCAGGCCTTTTGTTGTAGTCAAGTGGCAAATATGCACTCCTTGAAATGGCTTAGTTTATTTTGTTTTGTTTTCTCAGACTTATAAATTTGAAAAGAATGCAATTTAAAAAATGATTTCTCACAAAGAGTAAATATGCCTTTTGCAAATCAATTTTTGTAACAAGTTATTTATATGATATTACTTAATAAACTGGGTTTTTTTCTAACTTGTTTTTTTCAATTCGCTCAGATAATTGTTTGTAATGTAGACTTTTTAATGTACCTGCTGACATACTTTATCTTTCTGAATCTGCTATTTTAACCTCTCTGCAACTAAAACTGACTTGTTATACAATAATTAACTTGTAAATAATCGTTTCTCCCCACCAGCAATATATAACATTGATATTTCCCTACACACTTTATACTGCTGGGACATCTAGAATTCTATTGTTGTTTATGATGTTGCTGTATTAAGAAGGAAGCTGTTTATCCTCATGGTAATTGCTTTAGATTATAAAAAAGAGAGAGTTCTATATTTATGCCTCTCTAAAATCTCCATCCTTTATTTCATTCCCATAAAAACAATTGTCTGTGGATTTCTGATTTTAAGAAAGAAAAGCAAGAGCCAGATCAGAGGAAACTAAGAATAATTCCTTCCAACGGTATGATACTTTGAGTAAATAAAATGCTTTAACACATTCAGAACTATAATACTTTACATGCTTGTTGTTTTTTAAGCTGCCTCCTATTTCTAGAGGCCATTTCATAATTTTTAAATGGGAGCACTCATAGCTTTGCACAGGAGATTTTCATTTATTCACCACTTTGTTCTGTATGTATTAGCTGCACTTGCATGCTGTAGAATAGTCACAGTAAGCCACATTGGTATTTTTTTTCTCTCTTCTCTGGAAGGCCATGGTCCAGGAGGAGGACATGAGCACTTAAATCCAGTACATATTAGAAGGTGCTTTGGAGATATCTTAAGAGAGATACTAAGGAAGGTGTATATCAGAAAAAGAAATTGTTGACAGGCCTGGTGCCACAGGCTTGAAATCGCAGGACTAGGGAGGCTGAGGCAGGAGGATCATCAGCCAGCCTGGGCTACATAGGGAGTTCCAGACAGCCTAGACTACACAGTGAGACCCTGTCTCAAAAAACAAACAACAAAAAAGAAATTGTTTCTGCCCAGATGAGAATATGGGAGCAGTTCAGAAATTACTAGAATTGCAATAAAGAAAAAAAGAAATTATTTTTAAAATGAGGAAAGAGAGGGAAGTTTAAGCAATGCAACTGGTCTCAGCTGAGGTCCCTTAAGGGGACTAAGCTCGGGAAAGTTACATGGCATCAGAAGGCAGGCATGCTGCAGAAGCTGATTTGTTTGGGGGGTTTTTTGTCATTTCATTTAGAGTTAGAAACAGAAATCCACGTTAGGGAGCCATCCTATTAGAAACAGACTTGTTGAAGGATGTGTATTTGTATACCGGCATGCAATGTAGAACTGAATCCTTAACTCTATTCCATGGTGCCCCAACTCTGCAGCACCCCCGGAACTGTGGCGTCCTAAGGAATAGACAGAGCCAACAGAGTCAGTAGGATTCTAGGAATTTTTCCTGACCTGATGGCAGCATAGGCAGGAAGCACAAGGTGACTTCTCAAGGACCCTGTTCAGAAAGCAGAAGCCAGGCAAATCTTTAAATAGGGTAACCCTTTCCAAACTGCATAATGAGCTTCCAATTATAATTATTAGTATGTATTGGAGCAATTAACCATGGCAATCACAACCAACAAAGCTCAAAAATATTCATCAAGTTGATTTCTTACTCTCATGAAGTTCAAGGTGGCTGTAGGCCTTTCTCCCTCTTGTAGAGATGCCATCAGAAACACACTGCCTTCAAGGCAACCATGGCAAGGAGAACTCTGTCACGTGGTCCCAAACCAACTGGGAAGAGGATGAAGTAGAGATGAGCTATATCTGCTGAGTACTAAGAACCTTTGTTAATCTTGCAATACCTTTTCCAAATTCTCCCCACACTTATATCATCATAATAAACCATGTCTCATAATAATTGTGAGGGTTATCAGAGGAGAAAGTGAGAAGTCTTCAAAAATTCAATCTTGCTTTCAAGTTGAAAATCCTTTCAACTGACGCTTCTCTGTCAACCCTGACTTCACCACCCATGACAGACATTGCTAATCAATTGTCACACTATTTCATGAATCTCTTAGGTATAACCTTAGAATACCCCAAGCCGCCATCAACAATAAAATTACTTTAATCTATATGCCATTCCTAACCTAAGAGATGGAATTCTCCCATCCAAAATTTTGTTTTCTTTCATTCTAAGTTTTGTTGACTACTCATAACTGACATTTGGGGAGAACCTTCTGACTTAGGGATTTTCAAAACTTTGTAATAATTAATGATGATAAAGGGCTTAGCCTACTGTTATATATAGCCCAATCTTTATTTTATAAATCTAAATCAGCAATCATGATTGCCTAATTCAAATAATAAGTTCAGTATGTTTAAGTAAGGCATATCCTCTCAGTAATATTCTTGGAATTTCACATTCATTCTGCAACAGTCATGTAAGAATCTACTCTGGAAACACAGGCCAATGTGATAGGATGCACAAGTAAACAAAATGCACATAATCTGCGTTCAACAGAGCCTTCCCCTTCCATTAAGGGCTGATTTAATGTCTTCTTTTTTTTTTTTTTAGGTACTGGGGACTGGACCCAGAGCCTTCACACTGAGCTACATTCCCAGCCCTTTTTTATTTATTATTTATTATTTATTTTAAAACAGGGTCTCCCTAAGTCACTAAGTTGCTGAGGCTGTGCTCAAACTTGTGCTCTTCCTGCCTTAGGCCCCCAGAGTGCTGGGATTACAAGTGTGCTCCATCCACACTGGGATAATATCGCATTATTAATCAGTTTACCTGCCTAAACATTTTGTACTGAATGACACCCTGATTCTTTAGAGCACTTTTCTAGGTTTCATATTCCCAAATCCAATACTTTTCCAAATATGCTATGAATAGATATGGCTCTTTAAAGGAAGTAGATTGTCTCCTACTTCTCTCTATAATATACTTATTCCTTTTTTAAAATGCCTCCCTTGACGTATTAGATGATCTTTATTGCTTCCTGAGCCATTTAGTCTCAAAACTTAACTTTTAAAGGCGAACATGTCTTGTTTGCACATTGGTTTTTTTTTTTAAAAAAGTCTTTGTAGAGTAGGTAAAGGATAGGTTTTATTAAAGCTTTTAACGTTGATTAGGTGCCTGATAATAATACCTTACTTTTATACAGCACTTTAGAAATAACTATCATATATATTACTTAATATAACTTTCACAAAACCTCTGTACAGTAGGCTGCATCATTTCCATTTCATGAACAAAGAAGGTAGGGTCATTTGCTTGTAAGTCCCCATCACAAGAATTCTAATTAAACACACTTCTTTTAATGCATGCTTTGCACTCCTGCCATAGAACCCCCATTTTCTCCTTTGCATACATATCCAATTCCACCCATTTGAGAAAATATTCGTTGGGAGAAAAAGAATATTTTTTTCCTTTATACAAATTCAGATGATGGCAGACTCTGCTGGTGGCTGTAACCCCAAAGACATTCCTCTCCTTGAGATCAGTCCAAAGGCTTTCTAACTGGAAGAAAACTGAAAAGAAAAATTCTCCCCATCAACCTCAACTATCCAACTCTTTCTTAATATAAAATTGGAATAGCGTTGCTAAGAAAAACCATCTCTAAGAAATATCAAATTCAATCCAAGACTGCAAAATTTCTAATTACTTACATAAGAATAATCTTAACAATAATGACACTTGAAACATCAGACTGTAGTGAGTCCCCATAGGTAACTATGCCCCATAACAGGAAACAGAAGCCAGGAACTATCACATTCTGTGAGGAAGGGAATGATGTTCTTATAATTTGGATCTTGACTGTCCTCCAAAGGCCTCTGTTTTGAAGTCTTTGCTCCCAGCTCAGCTTGTGGCACCATTGAGAGATGGTAGAATCTCTTGCAGGGGACACGCCTAGTGGAAAGAAGTTAGCTCCTTGGGGGCATGCCCCTAAGGGGAATATTAGGACCAGGCCCATTCCTCTCTCCCTTTTCTTCCCCATTGCTATAATGAGGCCTCCTCCACCATGTGCTCCCACATGGCTCAAAGCAAGGGGGCCAAGTGACCATGAAATGAAAGTTCTAAAACTGTGAGCCAAAATAAGTGTCTTCTCTTATTAAGCTGATTATCTCAGATATTTTATCACAGTGATCAAAACTAACTGCCATAAATATGAAAGGAAGAAGGGATGTTGACTCTGATCATCAGAACCCACCAAGTTCACTGCTCTATCCCAATAGTTTGATGTTGGCTACATCCCCAGAAAACCCACCTACTGAGGTGGGTGAGGGGAAGTGTGGCAGAATAACAGCTACAAATATTCAATTACAAACTATGAGAAAAAGCTTTGCTTATTTTTCTGAAAACAGACTTAATTTCTGTTTTGAACCTTGATTCTTATGAGCAGCTCAAACTCAACTTTAGTCAATTTAGGGTTTCTTTCCATAATCTTCGCTGATACTAAAGCTAGATTCTGAAGAGCTAAGATAATGTCAAGGGTTAGGGTGAGGAGGAAGATGAGACAGTCAAAGCTTGAAGCTAATCTGCCAAGGGTATTAGGAGGAATAGATGGATTCCAGAAAAATATGGTAATTGTCTGTCTTTAACTCTCCCTGTCTGTCCTCCCATCCACCACAAAATGAGGTGACAGTTTATTGATCAGAATTTTTATGCTATGGTCATTATTTCTCATTCTCATAAGGTCAGGATCAAAAGCTTAAGTAAGACACCTGCTTCTTTCCTGACTTACAGCCCTGGCAGAGATTCAGAAAGAGCTGAAAGTTGTCTTAGAATGTCACTGTTTTCAACAATAGTAGTTTATAACAGTGTTTTCTTATGTTTTGCTGCTTCAGACATACAAAAAGTATTCATTTATAATACCAACACATATTAAATAATTTGCTAAGAATTGACCTAATCATTTATTTCTGAACAACTCTTTTGTGACTTTACTATCTACTTTGTGTAAAATGTATTTTTCTTTATTACAAGAACATGACACTGTGTTTTCTAACTTCTCTCTACATTTATATTACAAATTCTTCAAAGTTTAAAAAACTGAATCACAACTTAATACATATTTAATAAATAATTTGTACTGAGAACAATAGATATTTCAATCCAGACAGTTCAGCTTCCTTTAAATTCAAAGATTTATCTACCTTAAAAGAAGTTGGCAAAATAAAAAGATGGTGGCTCTCAACTGAAGAAAGTAGAGGGGCAGATTACTGATCTCAGCAACATGCACTAAGCTGGGCCTAAAAAGTGCAAAAGAAGATAACAGCAAAATCACTGGGCTGCTTCTCGAAGATCTAAATTCCTCACCCCAACTCCAGAAAAAAATCAAGGCTATTTTATGTACACCATAGGGTTTAGCCATTGTTAACTTCAGAATCCAAACTATATTTTACTAAACATATTAAAATGCACTCACATTTTACCTTAAAAACATAATTAAGTTGCCCTTTGCTAATTAACACTGTTATGTACTCCATTAGACATTTATTAATTCTATTTTAGCAATTTCCCTTTTTATTTTGATGTCTGTTTTGGCACTACCTAGTA